TCTTGCCATAATTTATTATTACATTCAGAAATATTATAGAAGAACATCCAGGTAATGATAATGGACGGTACAATCTCTTTATTTAGGACAGACAGACACCATTCAATCTTTCTCTCTCTCTCTCTCCCTCTCTCCCTCCCTCTCTCTCTCTCCCCCCCTCTCTCTCCCTCTCCTCAGGGAACTAAAAAGGCTCTCTACAGTGACTCTGTCTCCGGTCTATGCTCATTTTCAAGAGACTCTGACTGGTCTTACGACCATCAGAGCTCTGAGAGCTACGAAGAGATTCATGAAAGAGAACGAGACAAAACTGGACATGAGCCAAAGAGCAAACTATGGAAGTAAGAATTTATTTATTTATTTTATTTATTTATTAATTTTCTTGTCAAACAGGTTATGCAGTTGCCCAGTGGTTAAGCATTAGACTACAGATGTTGGGCGTGGCTATGGTAGGGGGTGTGGCTTTTATTGCCGTCCTAGAGCATCACTTTGCTGGCTCAGTTGATCCCGGTCTTGTTGGACTAGCGATATCCTATGCACTCTCAGTCACTAACCTCCTCTCTGGAGTTGTGACGTCTTTTACTGAAACCGAGAAAGAAATGGTCAGTGTTGAAAGAGCAATGCAGTATATCAGGGGAGCTCCTGTGGAAAGAAATAATGATAATAATAATGTGAGTTTATACTGATTTATATTGATTCATACTGATTTCTATCGATTCGTACTGATCTATATTGATTCATGCTAATTTATATTGATTCATACTGATTTATGTTGATTTATGCTGATATTATAATATTATTTAGTCTCCACCCATTGATTGGCCAACCAGAGGAGTAATAGAATTTCAAAGAGTGGTACTGAAGTACAGGTAATGTCACATGACTATCACATGATCACATACCATTATAGGGAAGGACTAGCACCTGCCTTAAAAGGAATTTCAATTAATATAAGATCGGCAGAGAAGGTATTTCATATCAATTAGTATATTTATTAATTATGAGGGTCTTAGGTAGGTGTGGTTGGAAGGACAGGTGCCGGTAAATCGAGTTTGTTTCAAGCTTTGTTTCGTATGATTGATCCGCTTGAATCAGGAGCCATCCTCATTGATGCCATTAACATATCAACTGTATCACTTGACAGATTGAGGTGAGACTGAGCCATAATTATGACACTTGTTACATTTTCTGATACATATTGATGTCCTTATGCTGTGTAGAAAGTTTGAGCTGATTCCGACTTCATTTTTTCAAGTTACGGCTATTTTAAGAAAATGTCAAAAATCTGAAAAATACCCAAGGCTATAGTCCATGGTTTTTCGAAAAATTGGCCAAAAAATGACCCCAAATTTTTATTACATTTTCTGATACATATTGATGTCCTTATGCTGTGTAGAAAGTTTGAGTCGATTCCAACTTCAATTTTTCAAGTTACAGCCATTTTAAGAAAACGTCAAAAATCTGAAAAATACCCAAAGCTATAGTCCATGGTTTTTTTGAAAAAATGGCCAAAAAATGACCCCCAATTTTTATTACATTTTCTGATACATATTGATGTCCTTATGCTGTGTAGCAAGTTTGAAGTGATTCCGACTTCATTTTTTCAAGTTACGGCTATTTTAAGAAAACGTCAAAAATCTGAAAAATACCCAAGGCTATAGTCCATGGTTTTTTGAAAAAATGGCCAAAAAATGACCCCAAATTTTTATTACATTTTCTGATACATATTGATGTCCTTATGCTGTGTAGAAAGTTTGAGTCGATTCCGACTTCAATTTTTCAAGTTACAGCCATTTTAAGAAAACGTCAAAAATCTAAAAAATACCCAAGGCTATAGTCCATGGTTTTTTTGAAAAAATGGCCAAAAAATGACCCCCAATTTTTATTACATTTTCTGATGCATATTGATGTCCTTATGCTGTGTAGCAAGTTTGAGGCGATTCCGACTTCAATTTTTCAAGTTACGGTCATTTTAAGAAAACGTCAAAAATCTGAAAAATACCCAAGGCTATAGTCCATGGTTTTTTTTCCAAAAAATGGCCAAAAAATGACCCCAAATTTTTATTACATTTTCTGATACATATTGATGCCCTTATGCTACATGTAGAAAGTTTGAGCTGATGATTACAATTATTATTGTATTTTTTGAAATAAAAATGTTGTCCTTTTCAGATCTTCAATGGCCATTATACCACAAGATCCTTTCCTGTTCAACGGAACAGTGCAGGAGAACCTTGACCCTTGCAGTAAAGTAGGTCCACCATTTCACCAGCAATGCACCATCCCTTCCTCCATAGTGTTCTGAATACGAGGTCTGGTCTGCTTTAGAGAGATGTCACTTAAAGACAGTGATAGAGGATTTAGGTTAGTACACTTGTACTGTTTGTATCATGTGATTATCATGTGATTCCCTGCAGGAGGATTAGGGGCTTCAGTTGAGGACAGAGGGCGTGTCTTTTCTGTTGGACAGAGACAGCTAATGTGTCTAACGAGGGCACTTCTCACCAAGTCAAAGGTAGAGGGAAATGAAGAATTCTCACCTTTTCATTTTTGACTAAATTTGGCCTGTGACTCTGTACTATAGCACAGGGACTTTGGGCCGACTTTTAAGCAACTTTAAAATTTTGTATAAAATCTAAATTTGATTGGAATCAATTCAAACTTTCTACACAGCATAACAACATGTATCAGGAAATGTTAAATGGAGTTATATTTTCTTTCATTATTTTAGATAATTTGTATCGATGAAGCCACTGCTAGTGTTGACCTCAGCACTGATGCTCACATTCAGAAAACCATCAGAACAGAATTTGTTACCTCAACAGTCATCACTATAGCCCACAGGTATACATGTAGCACCTATTAATATTACACCAATGGACAGCTGCTGTTTGCCCGCCTTTTAAGGCATTATCACTTGTAAGGGTGTACAGAATATTCCTGGTATGGACTGTTAGTAGGAAGGTAGCTTGTATCGAATGTCTTGAAGAATGCGAGTATTGACATTCCAAGTTACATACATGTACATCTATTAGTTAAAGTGCTTGAATTTGCTATGAGAACTATTGATTTTGATAAGGAACAGGAACTTCCTTTTACTCCCTTCCCTTCCGACATTTTTAAATTTGTTAAGGACACCATATTGGGCCCACACTACCTTTCCTTAATAATTTGGTGTTTTTGTTACATATACATAGCTCCTAGTCACAGATAAAATACTTCTTTTTTTTAAAGTGATTTATATTATATTGTAGAATTGAGACAGTTTTAAATTGTGATCGTATTCTTGTGATGGAGGGAGGGCGTGTCAAAGAGTTTGATGCACCTGGAGTGTTGCTAGGTGACCCAAACTCAATCTTCTCTTCACTTTTTAATGAATACAAGAACAGGAGATGAGCAACTAAAATATCAGTACTATTAGCATTATTATCATTAACATTATTATTATTATTGTTATTATTATTGTTATTATTATTGTTCTATTTTATTGCATTAAAATTAACACTGCAAGTAACACTATCAGTGTCTATCAAGTCCATTGATTCTTCATGGCTGCTCATTAACAATCTTAATGATAGACTATACAGGAAACTGTATATGTGTCTTTTTTTAATAAAAAAAACAACAACATGAAAAGTCAGCATAATATGTAGTTAAAAATTACATATTAAAATAATGGATACATAATGTATCATAAAATGACAAGTTATTATTGTTATAGTCCTTTACTAATTAGATCTAATATGCAGGAAACAAAAAAGGAATACAAATAGTTTAAAATCTGTGAAATTAGAAATGCAAAAAAAGAAAATTGTAGAATGTGGCTCTATGCAAAAGGAAAAGCACATGTACATGTGTGTAAAATGTCTTTTATATGTAGTCATCATCTTTATTAAAGGTAGGAGACGCAGCATAGGCAGGATTGGAATTAAGCTTGTTCTCGTAATCATCTGCAAACAAAGAGGATTTGGACAGGCGTGATGAAGTCCTGCCATCTTCTCCATTGTGAATGGAGAGTGTAAAACCCGGTCCATTAGTGAAGGAGTCTCTGTACAGTGAGTTAACAGAAACTGCTGGAGAAGGAGGAGAGAGAATTTGAAGTCTTGGAGGAGGTTGAATTGGAGGAAAACTCTCTGTGTTCCTGTTGGAACTAAGTTGATTATCTTTTGAAGATCTACCTACAGTAAAGAAAGGTTGATTTATAATTATGTTTGCTCAGTTATATTTTGACTTACTCTTCTTGTAGAATGCAATCATTAAGATAATGATACTAACAGAAAGTGTGATGGTTAATATGATATTAATTATTAGCAGTGAGAGTAGGTCAGTATTATCACTGTTACCAGCAGTACTTACACTGTCAGTAGAACTTACACTGTCAGTAGAACTTGCTTTTGTAGAATTTTCACAACCTAATATATAAGTATATATGTAACTATATGCTTAAAAATAATAGTATTATCATGCTGACCTGATGAGTTATTGGTCACAATGGATTGCTTGCAGTTGTCGCCAGTAAAACCAGTCAAACAGGTTATTCTGTACGAAATCACCATAGTCCTTGTATATGCTGTACTTTGATAGGAATTGTTGGTGGTGATACTTAAGTTTATATAAGTATTAGAGAGGACTGGGTTACGAATGTTGAATGGAATGTTATCAATGAGATCGTCTTGAGAGGTGACATCACGATCATAAATTCTCACACTCACCCTTAGTCCTGCCTGCATTGGATGGATGGAGTTGTTTAAATGTAATAGAATAGAATATAGAAATGTAATCAAAATTATATAATAGTTTAAATAATAGCTCTAAAGTAATGCCATGCAGAAAAAAGGGAAAAGGAATAAAAACGACCGAGTAAACTCTGCAAGAGAGAGACATCATTTCTTACATCAATAGTATCTTCTCTTATTGTAAATGTCATTGGGTTAGGCACATCTCCAGGCAGAGCAACACCAAAAGGGAAACTGATGTCATTAGAATCACTGCGTGATGAATCATAATCACTGGAGTAGCTACTGTAAGGACAATTCCTGTTAGAACTGCTGTAGGTGTAGGGCTGGAGGCAAACTTGGAAGTATGTTTCACAAAAATTGGTGAGGAGACGGCAGTTTGGTGGATTTCGATCAGCATCATCACAGCAGAGGTGATGAATGGTAGCTCCTTCTGGATTCTCCCATTTCACCAAAGCAACTTGCACCATATAGTTTCCACAAACCTAAAATATAGGGAGGAGAATAAAAGAGAGTATAAGAATACTGACTTACTATTCTCTGATAAACAGAGAGCAGTATTACAGCAACAGTAAACCTCCTGCAAGTAGAGAATTCCATTCTCTCCTATTAATGATAAGTCCAGTATTGTCTGCATTTTTATAGGAATAAAAACAATTGTGATGACGTACCGGAATTTGAAACAGGATATAACGTATTTGAAATTAAATTAATTAATTGACTGATCCATATCCAGTAATTCCGGTTTGATATAAAGGCGTGGCTTGTTGCCTAGGTGATTCATCATGGCGGCAGTCCCAGTCCAAGTGAAAGCCGAGGCCTACAAGACAAGAGAACATCCTGAGAGCCCAAAGGATGCAAGAGTAAGTATCTATGGCCGCACAAATATTTATAAATATTTATTGACAGCTCTCAGCGCTGATTGTAGAGGCCCAGTTGTACCAGCAGTTACAAGAACAGACTGCACAGCTTGAGGAGTTTAGAAAGAAAGTTCAGAAACGTCTCAAAAAGCAAAGACAAGAAACTTCAAGACAAACGATCGTCATTGAAAAGCATGCGAAAGTAAATTATCAGAAAAAATTGAAATTATAATAACGTTAATTAAAAACAGAGTGAGGTGGGCGGGGAAGAGGTGTGTCCAGAGTTGGATGGTTCCCACGGTATAACAGTCATTGATTGTAGAAAAGAACAATCAAAATGTATACAGCAACTTCTCTCTCTTTGTGAGGTTTGGCAATAAATAATTAAATTTAAAGAAATTTCTTATAGAAACCACCAGTCTCTGCCACACCTCCTGCTCAGGTTACTCTTAAACCTACGGTTTTTAGGGAAAAACCTAAACCATCTTTAATGCCAAAACCTGTCGTCAATCAGAAAACCTCTTCTGAACAGAAGAGAACATTCACCAATAAAGCAGAGGTAGATTTCTCTTTCCTTTTTGAATCTTTTCTTTCTTGAAGAATTAAACTTTCTCTTTTGCAACTTTTCTTTCTCTTTTAGGCTGCTAGTCATCATCTAACAGTGAGGAGGCTCTACTCAGCAGTTGAGAGACAGCAGTCACGTGTTAATGCTATCAATAGACAGCACCAAAAGGAAGCAGAGAAGAGAAAGAGAGAGAGAGAAGAAGAACGAAGACAAATAGAGCGACAGTATAGTCCTAAAGAATCTGCCGTATGTATTTTATTTATAATGTCACAGTATTTTTATTATTTTTTTATGATGAAGGTTATTCTTGCTGAGAGAGAAAATGCCAAACAATGGCTGGAGATGGTTGCTTTAGAAAGGAGGCATCAGAAATTAGTGAAAGAGAAAGAGAATGAGAGGTACTTGGTGCATGTCATCTTCTTGTTATCATCAGACATTGATCATCTCTCTAGATTTTGTGAGGCGTTGCAGTTTTTGCTGCATGAAAAGTATCCAGATCTTCCATCTTTATGCCCCTGTCATCCTTCTATTTGGAAAGCTGATCCGATGAAATGTGCAAGAAACTGTCCATTTTATTGCAACCACTCAAGTCAGAAAAGTTCCTTTAATTTTTGATTTTGTTTTTTTGAATGCTGTAGGGTTTGCAAGGGAGCTCTCATCTCTTCTATGCTCTGTCACTGAACACAAATAAAACAAAAAAGTATTTTATTATCATTTTTAAAATTATTTTTTTGCATTAAATCAATCATTAATGAACTATACATTGTGTACTGTACTTCATTTAAACTAGGATGAGTTAGCTATGACTTTGCAGTACTAGTTTCCTCTTCTCATCTTCTCTGGTCACACAGTTACTATACAAATTACCTGCCCCTGGCTCCAGGACTGGACTGGCAACTGCAGTATTTCTCAAAGACACTTGTAGTGAATTAAAAGGTGTTGTACCACCGCTATTCTGCCAGCGTGGGTGGAGCGGTCTATATACATCATACATCAATGGTGTCTCGTCTGAACGGAGTCTGTTGATAACGGGAAAGTTTCCAGGCTCGTCATTCATAACATGACTCCCTCTCTGCCAGGTTCTGTGTGATCCTAACGTCCAACTACGCATTGATTTAGGACTATATCCTTCTTGCTCACAAGCTCTTAGTAGAGGTCCCAGTAGACTATTGTCGGCCATTGTTGCTTCTGGTATGGCTTTGTATGCCTCCAGTAGGTTTTCTCTTGGAGTGTCACTGCTTAGAAGTATAGGAGAGCACCTTTGTGCTGCTTCTTTTCTGGCTTTCTCTCTAGCTACTTTTTGTTTAGCTTCCATTAACTGGTGAGACACCAACTAGAGACAAAATGTAGAGGAGGAAAGAAATGATTTTTAATGAGGAAAGATTGCAGCTTAGAATGTGCCAATTTCATTTTTAACACATACATCATTTACAATGCTTCTGGTGCAAGTGTAATATGAAATAGCAAAATAGCTTCTTGTATTCTATGTATATCATGATGACAGTCAGTACCTGTATCATTTGAGTGCTGAGCTGGTTCTTGTCGCTCACTGATTCCTGTCTAAGCCTCTCTTCTCTCATTTGCATGAAGTTTTTAGTAATTTCTTGTCTCTCAGTTTCATTCTCTCTCTGAGTCTGGACTGTGTCATGCACATCATCTGAGGCAGCTTCCTTCTCCAACCTTGAAAATAAATAATAAATAAAAATGTATACAGTTTTTCTTCTTCTCTCTAACCTTCTTTTTTCCATTGTTATTTTATGATCAATTGCAACATTAGTTTGTACAAATTTCTTAGCAAACTCCTCGTCATTGATCCTACACTGAAGAACTTCATATTCCTTTTCAACATTAGCAACTCTTCTTAGGTGATCCTCCTCTCTTCTAATGTCTTGCTTTTCTCTCTCTCTTTGAAGTCGTGTTTCTTCCTCAATCCTCCAGCTCATGATATTCTCTTTGATCATTGCTTGGTACTGCTGGAGTCTTTCTCTTCTCACCTCTCTCTCCTGTCTCACTTGTGCTACTAGTCCAGTCTTTGTCTCTATGTCCTTGTTCTTCTGGTTGGATCGATACTCTTTCTCCAATTGCCTCAAAGCAGTAAGATTCATCGTGGCATGATTGCGTATGAAAGTTTGAGTGTCTTTGGTGATTTCAGGTAGCTTTTTTGTTAAATCGATTTCATCTTGGGCTTTCTTCTTTTCCTCTTCTACAATTGCTTTCATTTTTCCTTTTGATTTCCTGATCTCGTCTCCTCCATCCCTCACCGAATCTTTATGCATCTCAATCTTGTTAAGATTCTCAACTGAGCGGTGAGTCCCACTGATACTCAAATCACCGACGCAATCAATATGATGTGCATCGGTTGATCTTTGATTCGATTTCTTGATTGGCCTGAAAAATTTCCTCGCCATTTTTGTACTCTTCTTGTTTTTAAGTAGGACCCTTGCACTGCTTATTGCCTTGTGCAGCTCAGCAGTGCAGGGTCTCTTGGCTGATTGAGGTATAGCGTATATACTTGGTAGAAGAGGAGAGAGTCTTTGTTGAGTGTTAGGAGAAGTTGGAGGAGGAGGAGGGCCTGATTTGACCAATGGAAAGCTCTGGTTTAAAGGTGGCATTGCTGTAGAGCACAGCACTTCTCTGAGATTCCTGTCTCTCTTTTCTTTTCTCTTCATAATAGCACTAATAATGATACATGTTCATGAGTGTTACTGTATTGTTGGATGATATTTACTTTATTTGCATGTTAATGTTCTCTGGTAGTCTTTTCCTTGTGAGCCAGCCCCGTACCCACCTCTGAATGATGATGACTGGACTGTAGTGCGACTGGACAGCATCAACCGATTGTATTAGAGAATGGACCTTATTTATTTCCGTTTGATAGTCGTTGTCCTACAAGAAAGGAGAACCTCAGAAATGCTCTTTGTTGCTCTTACTTCTTCAACCGGAAGGTAGAGGAGCTTGTTAAATGACTTGGCAAGAGCTCGGAACTTCCCAGCAAGATAGAGGTTTTCAATAATTTCGTCGTCAGATATTACATGATAATCCAATGCTTTTAGCGTTAGGATACTATAAAAAATAATAAAAGATGAAATGTATTTGTGCATGTAAGCATGTTTCAATTGATTCTGAACTACATGTATACGCAAATCGTAGCCATTTCTAATGAAGCCCAGTCAGTCTCACCAGTTAACAGCAATGTGACGATAATTGGATAAAAGAGATACTGGAGTGTCATGGAGTGTCAATATCTGTAGCTGAGGGCATGATCCTAGCTTTAATATGCAGTCCTTCTTTGTTAGTAAGTTTCCATGCAAGTAGAGGACTTTGAGGGATATCAGAGCACTCCAGTATTGAGCATCAGGCAAAGTTTGTATCTGAAAAGACAAAGGAAATAGTTACCATAGGGTGGGGGATCACTTGTGATCATTAGCGTTCTTAGCGAGTATACTTAAGAACGCCAATTAAGCCGGTGCTAATAGCACTTCTGCCTTTATGTAAACTAGTACAAGATCAGTAACAAGATAACACTGGATAGGGTTCAGTTCGGGCTTCCTAAGTGCAGTTCATACGCTATTAAATTGGATTTTTTTTACCACTGATTTTCTTTCTATTTTTGCTAATATTACATTTCACTAAATCAGGGTCCCCTTGAAAATGCTAAAATTTAAATTTTAAAAGCACAATTAGTACCCACCCTATATAATGTAGTATCAAGTATACAGGGGATCTTGCTGATAAAAACACAGAAAGGATGCATGCATTTATACAAGTCTAGTTGTGTACACAAGGTATAATTGTACTTCATTTCCAGAGATGTCTAATTTAACCAAATTGATGCAGGATTGGAATGGCTGAATGTTAGAGATGAAGTTCCCAGGTAAGTTGATGATACTTAGTAATGGACTAGAGAGAACTACCAGCTCATCTATAGAGTGGAGAGAGTGGAAGGGAAGCGAGAGGTACTGCACTTGCTCCCTTTCTTGTGCATCAGATGAAATTCCCTAAAATAAGAGCAAAGAAATGTAAAAATGGTGTCATTTTTTGCAGCACTGAAGTCCTCACTCTAGTTTCTTCTAGCAAGGCTTGATCTAGCACTTTCAAAACTCCTTTCTTAATGGCGGACCTAACAGCTTCTCTTTGTCTCTTCTTGGTGTTTATCTCGTACTGACTCTCAACAGTTTTTGTCGAGGGCTCCAGTCTATGCTGCATCAGAATCCACTGAGGGGTAGCCATGTTGCTGCTTGGTTGCTATAGCAACTGGTGCAGAACAATAAAATTAAATAAAATTGAATAAAATTAATTTTAATGTGCAAAGATAAAAATAAATAAAACATTACAATTATTATGACTATGAAACCATAGATGAAACTATCCTACTGTTCCTACATTTATTATTTCTGGATTATTAGACTATCTGATTCTATTTGACTCTTTCACTTTCTCTGCCAGTGCCAGCAGCTGTTCTTCTACTGAGCTGTTCTTTGCTTTCTCTCTCACTCTCTCATAAATGAGTGAGTTCATCCTACTCTCTTCCTCCTGCCATTTCTTAAACTTCTTATGGGCCCAGTTTATCCTGATCGAATGCACTATGGTGACTACTGACATGAGGAGTAAAAGATACTTTACTACACGAAAGTGACTCTTTTGAACTTCTTTTGGTGAACGTGCTCTATCAGTTGGTTCATAATAATAATAAGTAGTAGTCCTGAATCCATAGTTTGAACTGGGTCCATAACTTGAACTGGATGTAGGGTTCTTCTCGTAACTCGGTCCACCATTTCTCCTGTAGTATTCAGCCATGGCTAGTTCTCGGTCATATTGTCTGCGTAATGATGAATCAGATAGTGTTGAATATGCTTCATTTAATTCTATAAACAATTCTTTTGGAGGTGGATGAGAAGGGTTTGAGTCTGGATGATATTTCTTTGATAATGTGAAGAAAGAGTCTTTAATCTCTTCTTTGCTCGCATTCTTTGGTACAGAAAGCACCTCATAGAATGTCTTGAACCGACAGGAAAGCAGAGGCAGTCCTCTTCTCTTTAAATTGAGCCTGTGACCAAAGAAATAGGACATGCTACCAATTTTTTATCATAATTTCAGTCACTCCACATTGAAGTGATGCAAGAAAGAATAACAAGAAAGCCACACCCATTCTAGAGTTTAGCCACGCCCACACAAATTTTGCAGAGGTGAACCTCGCCCTCTTCCTCCAGTGACCCCTGCTTGTTTCTTGTAATTGTCCTCCCCTGATCTTTCCTCTTGATTCTGCTCTGCCTCTAGTTATATGTCAGCTGAACTGGAGGACATGGCGGCCAGAGAAGAGTATCAACAAGTAAAAGGTGAGTTATGGCAGCCTCAAGCAGCTACAAGGAACAAGCTTTGCTGTAAATCGGCTTGTAGAACGAGTTCTATTTTATAATTATAGAGAAACCCCAGACTAGCCACCCCATCCACGGCTGGGATGACCAGGAAGAATCCGCCGGCTGTGGCTCGTCTTTATGTACCGTTGTCCTCATAGTAGTCTCCGTTTTCCTGGTTCTGATATTCTTTCCTTTCTCCTTGATCATGCTTATTAAGGTAGGGCGCCATAAATGATTATGTAAGTGTGATAATGTGCTCCCCTTTTATTTTAAGGTTGTGCCAGAGTATGAGAGAGCTGTTATTTTCAGACTGGGACGTCTTATGGACAGAGAAGCAAAAGGGCCTGGTAAAGAACATCACTAATCAGAAAAGATTGCCATTTTTATAATTATTTATAGGTACTTTCTTCATCTTGCCTTGCATTGATCGCTATCAAACTGTGGACTTGAGAACAAAGTCGTTTGATGTTCCTCCACAAAATGTAAGCATGCAACTATGCATGTAATAGCAGCTGGAGTTTTGTTCCTTTTGAATTAAAGGATTTATAATACCTTTAACATATTTTAAAAGTTCTTTCTCTCTCTCTCTCGTAGATCCTCACCAAAGATAGCGTCACTATTTTGGTTGATGCCGTTGTTTATTATAAAATATTTGATCCTGTCATCTCGATAACCAACATCCGTGATGCCGGGTGGGGTACAAGGCTATTGGCTCAGACTCTCCTTCGTAATGTGCTCGGTTCTCACTCTCTTGGAGACGCAATGACCAATAGGGATCTGCTTGCAAACCAGCTGCAGGTAAAATTTGAATTATTTAAGACATTGTGCTAAGAAGATGTGACAATAATAATTATTTTCTTTCATTCTCTATTTTAGCAAAGTTTGGATGAAGCCACTGATCCATGGGGCGTTAAAGTGGAGCGTGTTGAGATGTAAGTCTTTCAGTTATTATTAAAAACCTGTCACTCTTTCTTTTAGTAAGGACGTGAGACTGCCACAGAACCTCCAACGAGCAATGGCTGCCGAAGCTGAAGCAACAAGAGAAGCCAAAGCTAAAGTATGCTACCCCACCTTCTGCACTTTAAAAATTAATATCCTCTCTCTCTCATTCTCTCTTTACTAGGTGATTGCTGCTACTGGTGAAATGAGTGCTGCTCGTGCCCTAAAAGAAGCAGCTGAAGTGATTGCTAATTCTCCCACTGCCTTGCAGCTTCGCTACCTACAGACCCTCAATGTCATTGCTGCAGAGAAAGGCTCCACCATTTTGTTCCCGATACCTATGGACATGCTTGGAGGAATGTCTGCCTGGGGAGCAGGGCTGGGAGGAGGAGGAGGAGGACAGGTTAGACCCTGCGTTTATTTATAGTAACAGCATAGCCATATAAGGAAGAACCTATTTTTAGTAACGAGAGTAGTGCTATGTTAATTTGTGTCCAACTATGTAGTTTGTGATTTGTTACTAGCAACACTGGTTTTGCTTTGTCTTGAGATTTCTTTGTTTTTCTTTCTCTTTACAGGGACTGGAACAGCCATCAGTCATATAATTACAACCTTTAGAACATACAGCAAGTATCGGATCTGCTGTGAACATTAATTATAACTTTAAGCTACAGAAACCGTCTATTGACACATTACACACATACACTTTGTCGTCTTGTGAGCCTTTGTTACCTCTTTTACAAACTTTAGTTTCAATATATTGAAAAGAAGTGTGATACAGTGATAATGTATGCAGCTGCTGTGTCATGGTTTGTCTGCCAGTAATGATATTCATGAGTTATTTCCGTATACTGAGTTTGTAATTTCATTTCCTCAGTATATCTCCGCATTCTTTCTCTACAAGGGGCAGGGAAAGGTCAAGGGATCTTGTTTTTTGTCTTTTTCGTTAGAAATGGCAACTGAAGACCAGCAGATTGTAATGGAGAGCCAACCACAGCAGCGTGCTGGTAAGGAAAAGGTTGCATTCATTCTTTACGGGACTGCTTTGGAGCTTGCGATAGCTCCCATTACAATTGTCTTGTATGGGCGGGAGAGATCTCGTACAAGCCAAGTTGCAAGGTCTATGCATTATTATCCCTCTCTTTGTACTATGTAGAGCTCAATGTAGACGAGTCTGATGTTGGAGTAGTCTATTACATAATGGCTGGGATCTCCTTCATCTTCATAATACTGTTCTTTCCTTTCTCCCTACTCTACACAATCAAAGTAAGGAATGATGTTCACAATGTCACCATAACTCCTCTCTCTCTCTGTGCTCCTCTCAGATTGTTACTGAGTATGAAAGAGCTGTTATACTGAGATTGGGACGATTGTCCTCAAGGAAAGCTAAAGGACCTGGTAAGTAGCTCTCTCTTTTAAAAATAAACCGTTTGGTACTTTAATGATTCATTCCACCTGATACAAGCTGATTTGATCTGATACAATTGTTAATATTATTATTATTATTATTATTATTTTATTTATTATTAATTCAGGTTTATTTTTTGTCATTCCTTGCACTGATACTGTCAATAAAGTTGATCTGAGAACAATCTCGCTGGACATACCACCACAAGAGGTTAATAACATGTGTCATGATGTACACCACTCCTCTCTCTCTCTCTCTCTCTCCAGATTCTTACCAAAGACAGTGTGACAGTCCGTGTTGATGCTGTTGTGTTCTACCGAGTGTACAACCCAACAATGTCTATCCTAAATGTTGAAAACGTCAATTCTGCTACTTACTTTGTAGCTCAGACGACCCTAAGGAACGTACTGGGAACTAAGAAACTCTCTGAGTTACTGACAGACCGTGACGCTATTGGTGATGAGATGCAGGTACTAATGTGTGTCCATTACTGATAGCAAAATGAGTGATTTGTGTCTTTTCATTTTTTTATAGCAAATTTTAGACGAGGCAACAGATCCATGGGGTGTTAAAGTAGAGCGCGTTGAAATGTAATAATAAAATATTAATAATAAATAATAATAATATTTCATGTCCTCTATAATCTTATAGTAAGGATGTCAGTCTTCCCCAGCAGCTGCAGCGAGCAATGGCTGCTGAAGCAGAAGCCTCTCGTGAAGCCCGTGCTAAAGTAAGACCCACCTTACATGTGTTACCATGACTACAAGCCCCGCCCATATAGGTGATATCTGCCGAAGGTGAACAGAACGCTTCTCGTGTGTTACGTGATGCTGCTAACATTATGGACGAGAGCCCCGCCTCCTTGCAGCTACGATACCTCCAGACTCTCAACACCATTGCTGCCTACAATAACCACACCTACGTGTTCCCTCTGCCTGTTGATCTTATGATGAAGCTAGTCTCGGGGGTAACCGCTAATAATCAACAAGGAGGGGGCGGGGATCAAAAGTGATGGGCATTAATTAGAGTTGAGCCGTACACGTCCATCCGCACTGACTTAAGTTAATGTAGTGAACTATTATTAATAGTTGTTTTTGCTTATTATTGTCTTTTGTCTCGTATGCACTTTCCTTTTAAAAAATATATCATTTTTGAAAACCATGATCATGACACACTCATCATTAACAATGTTAGATCTAGAGGGAGTTTAGGAGACCTACTCTTAGGTCTCCTAAATCAGCTTTTGGTCTCTGATATTTAGCCTAGGCGTGGCCATTTTAAGTTAGACTGGTCTTCCAGATCTAACAATGTCTATTCACATCACGTGTGCAGTGTTTTTCAACATTTATTAACAGATCAATAATATTCATTATCATAATTTTAGAAATTATTTTCAGAACAAGGACAGTCTCTCTACATTCCCATTTTAGACGCCAGTTCTTTAGCCTTTGCCTTCTCAATCTTAGCCCGCACTGCCTGAGCTTTGGAACCAACAATGCCCCCGCCCCATCTCCTCCTTATCTCATCAAAACGATCATTGTAATTATTCCTGATGGATTCAACAAGATTGTTAAAAGAGCTCTTGTCTTCACTGAGAGAGAGAAAGAGAGAGAAAGAGAAGTAAGAAGTGTTTAAGACTTGTTATTATTCTTACGGTTTAATTTGAGCTAGTGCTACAGCAGTTGCTGTCTTCTTGTGAACAATTCTGCCCAACCTAAGGAGGTCAGTATATTACAATGGATGCACACCAGTGATCCAGTACCTTGATTTGCTCTTGACTATACAGTAAGGAACGTTCATTCTTCTACACAAAGCAGGCAACCAAACTACAAGCTATGGAGAGGGAGAGATTATGACTAAGAAGATTGTAATGCTTTACAGCAAGAAAAAATGGCTATGAGTGGACAATTTAGCAGCCATGTGTCATTAAACATGCTTACAATAAAGAAAAATGGTGGCCATCATTAAAAATAGTTTGGTGCTGCTTACTTCAATTGGGTCCACATCATGAGCAATGGCTACCAGGATTGCTTTCTTCTGTTCTATCAGTCGGGTGATGTTATGGATCCCATATTTCACAGCAATGATCTTCTTGACAGCCGGTAGCTGACCGCCTTTAGCCTTTGTCTTTGCAAGATTGCGCAATCTCTCGCGTTTTTGAGCCTTTGACTCTGGACGATACTTGTGAAAAAATTTAAACAGCTGAGTAACTAAATTTTTAAAAAATTAAATAAAACTGAGAGACAATCTCTCGTTCCACTGACCAGTTGGTTTCTCCAGTGTGTACGTGAATTGGTTGATGGTCGGAGGGACTTTCAATCGCTGATACAAAATACGTCTTTGTCTCTGGATACGAACATAACGTGGCCACTTGACAAACCGAGTGAGGTCACGCTTTGGCTGAATATGACCACCTGCAACAAGATATTATAAATAAATTAATAATTATACTAATTTTAAACGTACCAATGCCATAGTTGCGTGTCCTTTTCTCAATAAGAGGATTCTTTGACTTCTTCTTCTTGACCTTCTCTTCCTTTGCAATGTAAGGAGCAGGTGCTACCTTTTTCGATTTGGTCGTCCTAACCACCTTCTTGACAGTCTTTGCTTTCGGTGGCTGGAGGAGTAATGGATACAAGAATATAAATACGAGGTATTGGAGGCCAGCAAGAATGAATAATGATAAATATGAAGGAGATTGGAAGAGATCCTTACAACACAAGATAATAAACTCACCATTTTGATGTTCCTAAAAGAAAGAAGCACGTGGAGAAGGTGGGAGTATTGAAGAGAGGTGTGGTCAAAATTCTACACCACACCCACTCTAGTCACGTGCGAAGGCATGGCCACAAAAAGAGATGTGGTTCAGATTTCTTCTTATTCAAGGAGACTTAAAGACAATGTCAAATCAATGCTGGACAACTATGGAGAAATACTGAAAGCCGCAAAAGTGAGTTGTGCTCGCGTGATCTCACATGCGGTCACGTGACCATGTCTCTCCTATTGTAGGTGTCGTCAAGTGAAGGACAGAGCAGCGAGTATGAGGCCAACGTTTATCGAGTTGAGAACGAGATTGAAATAAGAGCAGCTAACATTGTAAGACGGGAATCAAAATTATTTCATTTTATTTAACTAGCCACACCCTCCAATTAAGTCTTAATTAGTGTTTAGCAGTGTAATTTTTTTCTTTTCCTTTTAAGGTAAGAGCAGCTGAATCTTTATCTCGGTTGGTCTCGGAGCTCAAAGAGTACCTAATCCTTCATGATTTCTCTGCCATCAATGACTCACTCACCAAAAGAGCTACTGAACTTGAACAGCATCAGAAAACTCTTTTACAAGACTCCGAGCGACTTTTCTTATCTGCAAAGGAGAGAGAGCTAAAGGCTATCGAAGGAGGACATAACGTTTGAATTATTTTTTAACACTAACAATAGTTCTATAATAATGTTTATGCTTAATAGAAGATTCAGTATAGAATTGGTCAAAATTTTACTGGCTCATCTTGGTAAAATTTTATCCTTTATAGAGTGTGAACATTACTATTGTGTTGTTATCATAATGATAGATATATCAGTGTCAGCTATTATAATCTCTTTATGCTGATTCAGTAGCAAATATTATAGAATGTCAGCCCTGGGAACAAGAAATAATTGTGATGTCAATAATGATAGATGGAGCATTACAAGACGTGGGTTCCTATCTTATCCAGTTCCACTTCAAATCCAGTGCCTCCTATTTGTAATAGGTAACTTGTTTGATAAATATGGCAAACCTATTCCTGGCCTAGCATTACTACCTTCCTCTATTCGTTTTAAACTCCTCCTCCTCCTCCCTGCAATAGATGTATGTCAACTAGAAACTACACCAGTAACTTGTGATATATTAATGGATGAGATATGGGAGAGACTGTACAAGGAGAGGATCCCACTACAGAAATTCTATTATTATAAAAATACTTTTAATATGGCTGATTCACCAAGCATATGGATGGAAAGAAACAGGTTGGATTTAAGTTGGAAAGACATATATTTCATTACAGTTTTTGCATGTGAGCAGTATCACTATTGTTCATCACATGAGAATGTATCATGCAAGTGTCAATATTTCTTATCCCTTGATCTACTGTACAGTATTTATACATTAGACAATGATGGATCAGTGATACATCAGTGCTTTCCTAATGAAAGTGGATTAAAAGTCACTCATAACTTGTATCAGTATTATCATGCTTGTCAATGCACACCTAGATTTGTGCCAGGCTTTCACTTTAAGAGGTTTGTGGCTCCTTCAATTTCTGCAAAAGTTGACTACAAACTTTCTGTGATTCCATACTGGGACGTCATTAGTGCAATGATTGATCATCAAGTACCACTCAAGCATGTCACTATATCACCAGATCATATCAAGATTATTACAGATAATATGGGCCCACAGGTCAGTGGTAGGCTAGTCAAATTATTCTCATTTTTGGAGTCAATTGAAATATGCTCGTGTCATGTTGACAGTGCCGTCAAACTGAGCGAGTTCCTTGATTTGATTTTTGATGCAAACGAGTGTCAAATCAAATCAGCAGTGATACGAGATCACATCAACATTGTCAGTCCATTCTTTTCCAAGCACAAAGAATCACATCACTTGAAAAAGTTGGAAGTTTCCTTAGACGTTAAAGAGTTTTCAAATACACCAACACTTGGTACCAACAGACCTTGCACTACTAAGGCTTCAGAGTATATCAATAAGATCCTCCGATGTCAGAGAGGACTGGAGGAATTTAATTGTCATTTTACTGATCGAAACTTTCATTTTGGAAACATACATCACTTAGGGTCTTTAGACTCAGTGACAGATTTATTCTATCGGCCAGGATTCAAGGTACTCAGCTTTGATAACGATGGTTTTTATGGAGACACTTTATTTGAGAGCATCTTGGACTTGCTAGGTCATTTCTTTTTATCTCCCTATCCAGTGACACTCCATCTATCACTGAAGTTTTCGCATTACAACATCTATCAGCCACAACCAGAGGAACTGCCAGTACACAAAGACCAAAAAGAGAAAACTCTCTCATTTTCAAACTGTGGGTACTTTCCATACTCCTCTTCCATTCTCCCTAAAATCCTCAAACTGAAATCATTACAAATCAAAGAGAATGAATGGGCTCATGTGCAAAACTTCACATGTCTACAATCAATAGTGGCCCACAGATTCAGTCTGTCCATTAGGGAAACAACCACATCTATTAATATCCATTATTTAAAGTCAATACTCAATACAGTCCAAGCAAAGGAATGGGATCTATCCATTATCATGAAAAATGAAGGACGGCTTGCAAAGATATTTATAGAATTACTAGGAGATGTATTAGCTGGTGGAGAGATGCTGCTACTGAGAGATCATGGAGTGCATTGGCTTGAAGAGGAGGTGATCAGACTTGCATTTGAGACCATATTTTGCTCCATGTCACTTTCAAGAGTTGATCCTTATTTCGAATTAGGACTACCGTCTTCTTCTTTAAATAGCAAGGTTGCTGAAATAGCTCTTAATGAATGGAGAAAAAGTGGCTCAACGAGACTTAAAAGAATTAGAATTTTTGGAGAACTTAAGGACATCAGCTCTGTTACTTTGCTGTCAGAGATGGCAATTGAAGTGACAGTAATTAATTAATGGGTGTGGCTAGTTATTAACAATACTGACTTTAATACAACAAAACTAAAGCAGTTCAAGTTTCATCTTTTCTTCACTTTTTTCCAAAGCTGCCAGAACATGTAACCAGTTGCTAAACTCAATGCATACCTAATATTAATTAATTAATTAATTAATTTTAATAAACAGCCACGCCCATCCTTACCATGTGAATACATATTGAAGGTGCTCATTTCTCAGTTTAACTTTAGTTTGGCCACCAATCGGGCCACCCTTTACTGTTGTAGCTATTAATTAATTAATTAAAATCAAATAATTAATATTCATTGATTACTTGCATCAGCGTCAACCCATATAGTGTCAGTGTGGGCGTGGTTTGACATTGCTTCCAAATCTCTCCAGGCCCAGTAGTTATTCTCTGGTTCGTTCTTCGGTCCGAAGAGCCCACGCTACGAGAGAAAACTTACTTAAAAATTATCTTTAAAAGCTTACTGTATCTCCAGTCCTCACTATAGCTGTTATTTCTATTTCTCCTTGAACCTGGTTAATACATCATATTACATCACATTACATCATATTACATCACATTACATCATAGCATTACTAACTTGACCATGTGGTCTCATACTTGGATCCATTCTTGCTTTAGGTACCCACCCTCTGTTTACTAATACGTCACTTCTAAATAATACATAGAATATAATAGTATTGAAACCAGTGGCTGTAGTTTTGGTTTTTAAATTCACTCCGAAATCAGGCCAAAGTCCCTGTACTATAGTACATTGTCATTGGCCAAATTTTGCCAAAAATGGAAAGTAGAGAATTCTCCTCTTTTATTACATTTCCTGATACATATACATGTTCTTATGTTGCGTAGAAAGTTTGAGCTGATTCCGATCAAGTTTGGATTTTTAACGATTTTTCAAAGTTGCTCCAAAATCGGACAAAAGTCCCTGTACTATAGTACAGGGTCGTGAGCCAAATTTTGCCAAAAATGAAAAGTAGAAAATTCTCCATTTTTATTACATTTCCTGATGCATATACATGTTCTTATGTTGCGTAGAAAGTTTGAGCTGATTCCGATCAAGTTTGGATTTTTTACGATTTTTTTAAGTTGCTCCAAAATCGGACAAAAGTCCCTGTACTATAGTACAGGGACAGTACAGGGACTTTGGCCAAATTTTGCCAAAAATGAAAAGTAGAAAATTCTCCATTTTTAATACATTTCCTGATACATATACATGTTCTTATGTTGCATAGAAAGTTTGAGCTGATTCCAATGAAGTTTAGATTTTTTACAAATTTTTTAAGTTGCTCCAAAATCAAGTAAAAATGGATTTTTAAAGAATTTTATCTTTAAAATCACCAAAATCTTACGAACAAACTTACTTTGTTTCATTGCAATGAAAAGGTGTAATGACAAAAGCCCCTGGTTCACTTCCTCTATTTCCTGGTATCGGTTTCTTCTCTTCATTGATTTGGACCCTTGGCCACATTAGCATCTCTCGGCTGTGGTCGTAGCTCCCGGTTAGCGTCACCCTCCGGTACTCAAACTCCTCCAGCTGGTCCTTTATGCTATAAAGAACAGCCAAGGGTTACTGAAGTTATGCTAATAATTAATTTCATTTATTTTGATTCTAGTGCCCCTCCCACTAATTAAATGGGTGTGGTCACTCACTCAAATGGAATTGGGACAGGAGATTTTAACATCTTCCTCTCCAGTCTGTCAATGAGGTCAACCTTCCATTGGAGACGAAAAATTTGCCAAGTTCCGAGTCCGAAAGTGGTAAAAGGTATTATCAGTAGCCAGAGGTGACGATTGCTTTGAGGCTGTGAGCCTTTAAATTTAGTAGCAAATCGCTTTTGATGGAACAGAAATAAACGGTAACCTACAAAGATGAAGACTAATAGATATAACTAATGTATACCTGTTTTAAAATTGGAATTAAATCTTTTCCAAAACATGATTACCAATGCTTACTATGGGTGGGCTCGACCACGCCTAGTTGGTCCACGTGTTAGCACGTGGGTGATGACTCAAGCTTAGCCCCGCCCTCTTAAACATGGCATCTCTTAAAGAAAAGGAGAAAGTCCTGCAGGACGAGATAGAGAAGTTCAAAGACATCCAGAAAGGTGAATTAATTTTAAATTAATTAATTTAATTTATTTAGTCCAGATATACAGAAATGTGTATCAAAGAGAAAACAACTGGAAGGACAATTAACTGAAAACAAGACAGTGAAGGAGGTATTGTGAAGCCACGCCCACTAATTAAGCATACCCTATAGGAAATGGATGTACTAGAAGATGATGCTGTCGTTTATAAATTAATTGGCCCCGCCCTAATCAAGCAGGAGCTTTCCGAAGCAAAAGACACAGTGGTAAAGAGACTTGACTTCATTGCTAGAGAAATGTAATAAAAATATTTATTAATTTAATGTGGGTGTGGTCAATAATTATACGTGCATTTCTCTAGTTATTAATGTTAATTTATTATGACTCAGCTCTAGTTGTGAAGACCTGTATAAAGAGTACGAGAAGAAGCAGGAGGGTATGACTGAGAAACTAGCGAAACTGCAACAAGAGTATCAGAAAGCTGTCATTGCAGCTGGCGGCGGAATGATGAAAAAATAACAATCATTACCATAATTTATTAAAAAAATAATTAATAACAAGAATTGTGTCTTAAATTTCTTTACATATAAACTGTATCATTATCTGTAATAAATCAATTATTATTATCAAAATAACACCAGGTGCTACTAAACCTTGGTAACTTCATGCTCTTCACTGTACATCTTCTCCACGTAACTAAAATGGTCGTCTTCTTCCAATATTTCTAATTTAACATTGATCCCTGCGTCTTCAAGAACCTACAAAAATGTTTTCAACATTTTTCATGAGGACTTTGACCTACTTTTTGATAAGATTCTCTCATTTTTTGAAAACTTGTCGGATCAGATTTTCCCTCAACCAATAAACAGGGAAAACCTTTGGGTACTAAGTCACGGAGTTTCTCAATGCAGTTAGAACCCAGCGGACTGTAATCACGGACTTCTTGACTTTAATAACAATTGATAATAATTATTGTCATTAATTAATCTCACCCTGTCAGCTGCAACGGATCATTTACATAACATTTTTGAATCGGGACTAAATCATAAACTCCACTAAATAAAATGGCACCTAAAATTTGATGTGTAAGTTATAAATTTTTCAATCCTACTAACCATGGAATGGGTATTTATCTAGTCCGTACTCTCTCCAATTAGTTGCTAGCATTACTGATGAAAGGTGACCACCTGCTGAATTCCCGCTAATTATTATTCTAAATATTAACCAGGGATATTAAAGTATAAATAATAATGTACTCAGCTATACTTTTTGTTTGGAAATTTCTTGTAAATGAAAGCACATCCTTCTCTACACTGACGAACAATTTCAGTCATGTTAGCTACCAACAAAAACAACAACAACAACAACAACAACAACAACAATAATAATAATAATAATAAATGCTTTTGCATGTCACATGATTGTCACCTGATGGAGCAAGTTGATAGCCAATGGAAACTAAGATCACATTATGGGCCGACAACGGAATGGCATGCCCACCCGACTCGTCCAAACTAAAATTGAAATATTTATAAAAATAAAGTGATTCTCTTTATTTCAAACTTGCCTCAAAGCCTGCCAATAGCCTCCATGAAAAAATATCATTATTCTAGTTTCAGCTAACAAGAAGACAAGTCAACATTTTGCAACGTGAAGGGTAGCTGCTAAAAGGCTTACCATTGACTTGAGGTGGATAATAAATATCTAGTGATTGACCAGTCCCGTTAAATATCACTCCTAAATCACATTCCACAGTTTCCCTAGCTCCTTTTGTAGCTGTAGAGACAAAAGAAAGAGAGAGAGATTGTGAAAGGGGGAGGCAATAGCAGCAGGAGCTCTTTTTGAAATATCATTCCTTTTTACATTTTTGAAGTGCTGCTGTGTGTCTGTCTACTACAGTAGCTCTGTCTGACATTGCAAACTTGCTAGGAGAGAAATGATGATCCAATTCCTCTCTAGACATTGAGGAATAAAACTCCATCCTTAGCTCATTAATATTCATGAGAGTAAGGACCACTCATCACGCAGCTAATTAGCTAATTAAAATAAAATCACTGTGAATTCTTGTTGTCAAGGCAACGATTCATTCTAATTAATGCCCTCACTTGTTGTGAAACACAATGGACGACAAGACAGAAGAATTGAGCGATGATTTCCTTAAAGAGATCGAGGAGGTGCTTCAAGAAACGAGCATAGAAGGAGAAGAAGGGGAACCCAAGGAGAATGAAACCGCCACTGAAGCTACTGGAGCAGACACTAATGGAATACAAGAAGCTAAGAAGTATATGTAACATCAACTCCTATTTTATCTTAATCCTATTATTGTTCTTCTTAGTATTTCTGATCTGACAGTATCAATACAGTCTGCTCTTGCTAAGAATGAGGACCTGGAGGTGTTACGTGAGCTGTGTTCGGCCGGTGTCCCTCCACTGGTCCGCGGTGACCTTTGGAGAGCATTCCTTGGGGTCAACCGACGACCGGACGCCATCGGATCATGGAACGGACCACTGGACTGTGAGAACCAGTCACTGATTCATCAAGACACTATCAGTCAAGCAAGTATGTACTATACTGTATCCACATGTACTGTAGTCAATAGAATGTAATATTATTAAAATTAATAGTTTTAAAGATATCTTTACACTATCCATTGTTTAAAAGTCAAAACAATTCATTATTATTAATATTGTTAATTAACATTCTTTTATTATTAAATTTATTAAATGAGCATCTCTCTCTCTCTCTCTCCCCAGTACGCTGTACCCAGTCAGAAGAGACCCAGGTTGGTCTGTCCACTACAATGGAGGAGGTGATCAGTTTTTACTCCAAGTCTCGTAATGTGACCTATACTACTGAGACAGGATGGGCGGAGCTACTGTCTCCTTTAGCATCTCTCGGTCTTTCAAAGAGTGACCTCTTTAATTGTCTCTACGTGCTCCTGGCTAAATTTATACCAAGGTAACGGCCAGCTAGTAAGAACAGCTGAAACTCGTTATTTAAAAGTTACATGTACCAGTATAGCCTCTCTTAATGGACACTCTCTATAGCGTACACCTCCATTTAACGGACAGCACCTAGTGTACCAATTACATTCCTTACTGTATAAAATAACCTCCACATAAAGGACACCTCTGTATAACAGAGACACTTTCAAAGTGTCCATTATATAGAGGCTAGGTCTGTATTTCTATATATCCTGTCTCTCCTCTTTGTTAGGGACTGTAGAGGAGGAGGGAGGCCGTTTGACTTGTTCAGATTATTATTGTTATATCATGACCCTAACTTATGCTCCATTCTTGACACAAGGAAACTGTATCCACATCTGTATCTGCAGCCATGGGTAAGAATAAATAAATAAACAAAATAATAAATAAATAAATGTATAAATAAATGTTGTGAATATTTTTGTTGTTTTTGTAGCTGAGGAGTATATTCTCCAGTCAGTGTTCGGTAGGTGTGGTACATACCTTGTGGGATCTTTATCTAATGGAGCGTGATCCTTTCCTTGTCTTCTTTCTAGCACTGGTAATGGTCATTAATGCAAAGTAAGTTTAACTGTACTAAAAATTTAATTGAATGCTGTACTTTGAAACTAATCTTGCATTAATATCTCATTGATATCTCACTGATATCTTATTGATATCTCATAGAGAGTTGATACAGGAGACCCCAGTAGACACTCCAGTGGATGATCTGAACTCAATGATACTAACCTTACCTCAACAGCTGACATCAGAAGACATCACTGACCTCTTCTCTTTAGCTCAGTACTATGCAGTTAGGACTCCACAGAGCTTTAGAAAAGTAATTAATAATAATGATAATAATAATAATAATAATAATAATAATAATAACGATAATAATGATAATAAAGTGTTGGTGATTATTGAATTGTTTTATTCTCGTAGGATTATCATAATATGTTATTTGGTACCAGTAGGAGTGTCTCATCAGTAAGTACAGGTGCTCTCTGTCTCCCTGTACAAATGCAGGAGGTGATTGACTCACTAACTAACGAGGTAGCGTTATACCTGTACATGTACATTTTTATAATATTTCCTGATACATATACATGTTCTTATGTTGCATATCAAGTTTGAGCTGATTCCGATCAAAGTTGGATTTTTCATGAATTTTTTTAAATTGCTCAAAAATCAGGCCAAAGTCCCTGTATTATAGTATATGGTATTTCATGAAAAATGGCTCTGAAATCACCCCAAATTTTTATTACATTTTTTGATACATATTGATGTCCTTATGTTGTGTAGAAAGTTTGAGCTGATTTTGGCCTAAATTTTTCAAGTTACGGCCATTTAAAGAAAACATCAAAAATCTAAAAAATACCCAAGGCTATAGTCCATGGTTTTTTCAAAAAATGGCCAAAAAATGACCCCCAATTTTTATTACATTTTCTGATACATATTGATGTCCTTATGCTGTGTAGAAAGTTTGAGGTGATTCCGAATTCAATTTTTTAAGTTACGGCCATTTTAAGAAAACATCAAAAATCTAAAAAATACTCAAGGCTATAGTCCATGGTTTTTTCAAAAAATGGCCAAAAAATGACCCCCAATTTTTATTACATTTTCTGATACATATTGATGTCCTTATGCTGTGTAGAAAGTTTGAGGTGATTCCGACTTCAATTTTTTAAGTTACGGCCATTTAAAGAAAACATCAAAAATCTAAAAAATACCCAAGGCTATAGTCCATGGTTTTTTCAAAAAATGGCCAAAAAATGACCCCCAATTTTTATTACATTTTCTGATACATATTGATGTCCTTATGCTGTGTAGAAAGTTTGAGGTGATTCCGGCTTCAATTTTTCAAGTTATGGCCATTTTAAGAAAACGTCAAAAATCTGAAAAATACCCAAGGCTATAGTCCATGGTTTTTTTCAAAAAATGGCCAAAAAATGACTCCAAATTTTTATTACATTTTCTGATACATATTGATGTCCTTATGCTGTGTAGAAAGTTTGAGCTGATTCCAACTTCAATTTTTTAAGTTACGGCCATTTTAAGAAAACATCAAAAATCTGAAAAATACCCAAGGCTATAGTCCATGGTTTTTTCCAAAAAATGGCCAAAAAATGACCCCTAATTTTTATTACATTTTCTGATACATATTGATGTCCTTATGCTGTGTAGAAAGTTTGAGCTGATTCTGACTTAAATTTTTCAAGTTACGGCCATTTTAAAATACTTTGAGTCTCATTTCAATGAAGTACATTATATCCTCTATCTCCTGGTTATAGACTGCTGCTGGTATTAAGTATTTCATTGTTGATTGCCGTCCATTGCAACACTTCAGTGCTGGACACATCCAGGGGGCTATGCACATGGACACTGACCTGGTGAGTCTATCAGTAATGAATATTGACATCTAATTTAACATACACAGTACAAGTACATTTTAATGTCATGAATGCACTGTACCTTACCTCTTCAATAGCTTATATGTGCTGAATTTATTTATTTATTTTATTTTTATTTTAATTTTTTTGAAGTTGTTACATTCGCCTAAAGACTTCTCCACTGCGATGGACAGGCTCTGTGATCGTATCAAACAAAATGGCGGAGAGAACGGAGAGCACCTTTGCTTCCTTGGGTCAGGGAGAGAGCAAGAAGACCAGTATATGAATATGGTCTTGGCTAAGTTCCTTCAGCAATCAGTTCCTTACATCAGCATAGCTAGGGGAGGCTTCCTAGGTAAAATAATAATAATAATAATAATAATAATAATAATAATAATATTTTTATTTTTAAAAGAGATGTTGAGGCTACTTGGAGCAAGAGCTGGTCAGTTGTTGGAGGACTTTGATTCTGAGCTATGTCATCAGCTCTACGAGGACTCCAGGGCATCAAGCAACCCATCACCATCACGCAGTGACTGCAACGTAAGTATTTATTCATTTATTTATTTAATTCTATTTGTTTTTATTTATTTATTAGTCTGATAGTGATACTGAAGCTCATCTTGGATATTATTACAAGCAAAGACTCCAAGAGAAAGTGAGAATGAAAAAATACCATTTTATAGCAAAAAATACAAAACCTCCTTGCAATATTAAACCACCAATTATTATTATTATTATACTTTAGAGTGCTCAGATCTATACATCATTAGCAGCTGGCTGGAGAGACAGGTCCCAAAGGCTCCGAGTGAGAATGGGCGAGTTATGGAAGTCACGACAAGTAGCGGCTTACAAGCAAAGACCTCTCGCTGGAGAAGAGAAGAAGAAAAATGGTCGACGGTATCACAACTTGCCAGAGAATGTTTTTGTGATTGCGGACGACGAAGAAGAGGAGGGAGAGAGAGAGGAAGTAGGCGGAGCTGAGAGTGAACTTGTTAATATTAGTCTATATTCAACTTCACCCGAAATACTTCACTCATTCCCTTGCACTGAAGTTACTGATACTGGACACATGGCTACAAGGTAACTGTATACACGTACAGTATAGTCTCTCTTAATGGACACTCTTTATAGCGTACACCTCCATTTAACGGACAGCACCTAGTGTACCAATTACATTCCTTACTGTATAAAATAACCTCCACATAAAGGCACCTCTGTATAACAGAGACACAGTGTCCATTATAAAGAGGCTAGTCTGTACATGTATTTGTAATTTTTATATTTTTAATATTTTTCTTTTCTTTCTTTCTCTCCTAGTCATCTCCTCTTAACTAGTAAAGATTTGATAATACTACGTGAAGCTCCAGACAGGGCTGGTTGGGGTCGTATCAAACATCGTGAGAACTTATTAACAATTTTAAAAATCACCGCCAAAAAGCATCACCCAGACATTGTCACGTTTAAGTTCGGTCACCATGACAACGGTGCGATCGTCTTGACCCACCAGATTAGAGTGAGACTACCTAACACTCGTAAAGCAACTGAAGCTATTAGGAACACAGTGGAACAGGCAAACAAATAATAACAACAACAACAACAACAACAATAACAATAACAATAATAATATTGATACATGTACACGTGTACTTTATGATTTCAGTTTTATTCAACTCTAGTCTGTACAGCGTCTGACAGTTTTTCTAATTTTAAATGCTTTAATTAATAATTATTAATTAATAATAAAGCTACACAGCCTTGATTGTAATCATTATTATTACGGTTGTAGCTACTCATTACCCTTGCTTTTATTAATAATAATTAATAATATTTAATTTAATGTTTATTATGTACATCACCAGCTGGCTCTAACTAATTTTTCAATAATAATAATTTGAATTGCAGATACAAAAGAGCATCAGTTAGTTTTTGGACATAATTTTTTGGCGCATTTTCACTCAACCCAACAGCTGCTGCCACAATAAGAGTTATTCTATAATAAAACCAATACAGTATAATGATATCTATTATAATAATGATGTATGTTGTATAGGCAAAGTTAGTTGGTTAGGCTTTAGCGTCTTTTCTGTTTCCCTTTGTTATCTTCTTCCTCTTCGTCATCTTGTGGTTTCTTCTTAGTCTTAGAGTCCACCAGCAGTTGAGTCTCTCTCTTCATCGTCTCTCTCATGAGTCCTTCATCTTCATCATCACTCTCATCTAGGAAGAGGAGCAAAGAGATAATGATCAAGAGACTGGTTTCCATTCCAGTGTTGTCTTACGTACCATACAGTTCCCCTCGTTGGGCCCCAGTGTTATCCTTAGGTAGTACAATACGGACATTAGTTCCTCCAGCTGTGTAAGACCCACCTTCAACTGTTTGACGAAACTAAACGTAATAAAAATAATATTTCATTTTAATAGTCTTTTTTCAAGTGTTGGGGTTTGTTTCTACTATTAAGTTGATGATGTTAGTCACTTTATTTCAACATCTTTTGTTAAACTATCAGCCACAGTTTGAAAGTAGACATTATATTGCAATACCTCTTCATCCTCCATTTCTTTTTGTATTGTATCAAGATCCCTTGATCCTAGTTCTTCAACGAGTGACACCAGCTTCACTTCGCATTCTCCTAGCATTTCAATGATACCCTCTTCGCTCCCGGGCTCAAGATGAGGCTTAAGAACATGAGTATGAGGCTGCAGGTATGGGAATGGAATAATGGGAATGAGTATGGCTAACAATTCGATATATGTAGATAATACAAGCATTGAGTGATCAAGACAACAGTTATATTCTCACTGCTTTAATGTGCTGCAGTTTCTCTGAAAGGTGTGTTATTCCTGCTTTAACTTGTCCTAATAGTCTACCAGCTCTGTCAGCTTTAGAATCACTATCAGTGCACCTGTATTAATAGCAGCATAAATAATGCCAGTGATGTATTCATCATAAGGAGAGAAGGAGACAATATAGCATCAATGTTAATAGTGTTCCTTGCCTAGCTTTAGCTTCACTGAGGTGAGACTGCACTTCTTCCAGTAGCCTCTGACCACTGGACATCCTTTCTTCACCGGAATACTTCATCTCTTCAAACTGAGCTTGCAACTTATCCTGTGCAGTAAATAAATAAAAATAATTTATTATACTTTCTCTTGCATGAACATGTAGTAGAATGGCATTTTATGATTATTTTTAAAGTTCAAAATCTGGCCAAAATTCCTGTACTGTTATAGTACAGGGTTACAAGCCAAATTTCACCAAAAATGAAGAGAACTCTCCACTTTCATTACATTTTCTGATGCATATACATGTACTTATGTTGCATAGAAAGTTTGAGCTGATTCCAATCAAAATTTAGATTTTTAAATAAATTTTAAAAGTACCTTTTCCTCCTTGAGTCTGGCCAGTTGTTTAGTGTGTTCATCCTTCAGTTCATTTAAGTGAGTCCGTGTCTCCTGCTGGTTCAGGAATCTATCAACAACCTCCTAATATGGATATCAAACAGATTATAGAAAACGAGTTTTTCAAACCTGTATATCCGAAACACCAGTTGCATCTTTGATTTTAGCAAAAGCCTCTTCATAAGAAGTGATCTTTTCTTCCTGTTCCTGAATACTTTGATCATCACCTTCAGATACTGCAAGATAATGCATAATCATACATTAATTATAAGATAATGAATAATTATACATTAATTATAATAATTAATGCAAAATTATACATTAATTAATGCAATTTTCTGTAATTATCTTACATTGAGCTGCAGATTCTTGAGCTATTGATATTCTTCTCAACTGCACCTGATCAAATCAGATCAAAATATGATGTACAAATACATGTCTTTCTCTTACTCTTTTTTCCACTTTCTCTGCGAGGTCTTTTTTCTCTTGTGCTTTCTTCCGATAACTATCAAGTGTCTTCTCTCTTATTTTCTTACTCTCAGCCACCATTACCTCTTGATTTTGTAACTCAGCCTATAAGAAACAGAATTAGCTCAACCAATGTCTGTCAGTTTATCATACTTTAGTCATTTCTCTTGCAGTATCAGCATCATTATTCATTGATTGTAGCCCCAGAAGGTTCTTCTTTCTTGAGCTGATAGATTTCTTGAGTTCAGATATTTCATTATCATAATTCAACCTCTCCTAGATATGATACACATGGCAGCATGTTTTTTGCATTTTATACTAGTACTAACTAGTTGCATTTTCTCTAATATTCCTTTGTATATCTTCTGTATCTGATTAGCTTCATTAGACTGGATGATGGCCCTATCCAACTGGTTCTCTAGTGCCCTTAGCTTCTTTGCATTCTCACTCTCTCCTGCTGGAGTGCTAGCAATGGCTTCTGTCTCACTCTTCATGTGGGCAAGCTCTTTTTGTAAAGACTCAAGCTGTCGCTGCTTATTCCTTGCTGTGTATTGGAGGGCATTTCTCTTCTTTATCAGCTCACAAACAGCCTGATCAAACCTGCTGTGAGCCTCCTGTATAAAATATAATCACAATATCAACAGCTTTTATTGTGTGGACTAATTCTTGATTGATTCTTACATGAGCAGGCAAACCTCTGAGGTCTGGAGGTGGCCTCATGTTATTTTCTTTAAAAACTGAACCCACCACATCATCATCAGCCTAAAGGAGGAGGAGGTGTTACTGCAATATAAGGAAGGAACTGGCTTGTCTTACAGCCATTTTCCTTGCCAGTTTCATCCTTAGCTCTTTGTTCTCTCGTCTCAGATGTTGTATCTGTGTCCTGTTCTTTTCCATTTCAAACTGTGTGTTCTCATAATGGGCCTTCTTGTCACCATCTAATATATTATAGGAAAGTGGTGAAGTATAACCATAATTATGTTCTTTACCCAGGAGAGTGAGCTTCTTCTTTAACTCATCTATCTCATCTTTAATGGAGTCAATACGACGAGCAGTGCTTGTGCTAGCAGCCATTCTTACCTCAAACAAAACACAGAGTAGCCTAGCTAGGTATATTGTGTGGTAGCTATAGCAACAGTAACCACACCTACTAAATGAGGTTGCTAGGTGGGCAGTGTGCAACAATTTAGCTCCACCCTTTTTACAGCCACACCCATAAGTTGGAAACTTCCTTTTCTAATGTCAACACATGATCAGCTCATGCTAAAGTTGCTGTGACCTCAACTCGACTGTTGGAGATCTCCTCTTTAACTCTTTTGCTGACTCACTGAGAGCAATGTCCTCCTATTACGAGTCCAATAAACTGAATCCTCCTTCTCCAGAGTGCCCAGCAGTTGGTGAGGTTTCCTCTTACAGGCCGAGCCGTCTTTTCACTGCACTATCAGCAGCAGTCACCTCCTCACATCCAGGAGATCCCTCCTCCCTTCTTGAAGGATTACTTTCATTAGATGCTTATCTCACTCGCCGCTTAGCTTTATGCGCCTCTAGCAACAGCTCACTCCATCAAAAAATCCTGAGATATCTCTGCTATGCACTGGAGCTATCTGGTCATGGGGTACCATGGTTTTCACTCTGTGGGCTCCTAGCAATTCTATACATACCAACTGGTAGCCATGTTCTATTCTCCTATCTCGTACACTTACTGTTCCTTCTCGTGGCTGATATCATAGTTGTAGCTCCGATAAAGTTATACTTTCAGAGACCAAGGCCCAGTTTCAACAAAGGATCCATTCCACTTTCGATATCTTCAGTCGATCAATACGCTTTCCCTTCAGGACACACATCTCGCTGTGTTGCTCTTGCTGCTCTCTTCTGTTATATGTCACCTTTCATTCGGTTGTGGTCCGGACTCACCATTCTCTGGGCAGTGTCTGTTTCTTTCTCGCGGATTGTGATTGGTCGTCATCATATTTTCGACGTGATTGCAGGTGCCATGGCTGGTGTAGTAGTTTTCGAACTGACAAAATTTTCAATTCAAATGGTGTTTTAATTAGACATATTTCTCTCTCCCTCTATCCTCATCACTTTTTATAGCCATTCACTCATTCTAGGCACTAATAAATAAATAACAATACAATGTCCCTTCTTATTTCTCATTGCTGGTCCTTTTTCTTTTTAAAAGAAATGAATTACATGATATTTGAAATAATGGTATTGGACAAATGACAAGAGAGAGGGAGAGGGAGGGAGAGAGAGAGAGAGAGGGTGTGATGTGTATGTCAAAATGTCATATCAAATTTCAAAGGAGCTGGCAGTAATGATCAGAAAACACGATCATGGACATTACCAGATACGACGTTTGGAGGTTGGGATTGTGTTGGGCGGGGCCCTGGGAGGGGCTTATGGCTCCCCGTGTGCATCACAAACATAGAACTCCGCAACGTTGAGAGGGTTTTACTCAAATCAGTGGGGAGTGGGTCCTTCCAAAAGAAGTCGTGTTCAAGCGTAGAGTCAGCATCAATCCTCTTCCTTGGGTCAAGCATCAATAGTTTATCAATTAAATCCAGGGCATAAGGATCCTCCACAAAATGTCTGAGCCTCTCCTTCAATTTACGATTCTCTTTCTGCGGTAGCTCCAGCTTCTGATAATATTCCAATTTCTCTACCCCGGCCCATTCAGTGGGCGAAATTGATCCACACAACTGGCAAATGAGAGTGATTTGCTTCTGCTCTGTATCTCCTTGCATGATCGGTCTTCTTGTCCACATCTCGGCCATTATGCAACCGGCCCCCCACATGTCAATGGGGGGGCCATAGTTCCTCTCGCCCAGAAATAGTTCAGGGGGTCTGTACCATAGTGTCACGACCCGGTTTGTATATCTCTGGTTGGCTCCTTTGTTTAAAGCTCTTGCTAGACCGAAATCAGCTAATTTGAGTTCGCCTTTCCTTGTGACGAGAATATTACAGGACTTCATGTCTCTGTGAAGTATGTTGTTCCCGTGGATATAAGCTAAAGCGTTGAAGAGTTGCTGCATGATGTTCTTGATCTCAGAGAGGGAGAACTTGATCTCTTTGCATTCTAAGAGGCCAGCTAAGTCGTGTTCGCAGAAATCCAACACTAAATAAATACTGCCTTTGTCTCTGTTGTAAGGAGTAGCTGAAAGAAATAAAAGAACTTGTAAATGCATTAGTAAGAACACTTTTATAATGAGGACATTTTGTAATGTCCCAATTGGTACAAGCCTATACAAGAGTACCTCTGAAATGAGGACACCTCTGTATTAAGGACTAAGGACAGGTAGTGTGTATCCTTAATAAAGAGGCTACACTGTAAATGTATTAAGGACAGGTAGTGTGGGCCCAATGGTGTCCTTAATAAAGAGGCTACACTGTACATGTATTAAGGACAGGTAGTGTGGGCCCAATGGTGTCCTTAATAAAGAGGCTACACTGTACATGTATTAAGGACAGGTAGTGTGGGCCCAATGGTGTCCTTAATAAAGAGGCTACACTGTACATGTATTAAGGACAGGTAGTGTGGGCCCAATGGTGTCCTTAATAAAGAGGCTACACTGTACATGTATTAAGGACAGGTAGTGTGGGCCCAATGGTGTCCTTAATAAAGAGGCTACACTGTACATGTATTAAGGACAGGTAGTGTGGGCCCAATGGTGTCCTTAATAAAGAGGCTACACTGTACATGTATTAAGGACAGGTAGTGTGGGCCCAATGGTGTCCTTAATAAAGAGGCTACACTGTACATGTATTAAGGACAGGTAGTGTGGGCCCAATGGTGTCCTTAATAAAGAGGCTACACTGTACATGTATTAAGGACAGGTAGTGTGGGCCCAATGGTGTCCTTAATAAAGAGGCTACACTGTACATGTATTAAGGACAGGTAGTGTGGGCCCAATGGTGTACTACTAGTTTGTGCCCATTGTCCTCAATTAATGACACAAAAGGTGTACAATAGCAAGCAAACATATTTTCAATGTAGCGTCTAACACCAAAGAACATAATATGTGGACACACACACACTTAGCAATAGACCATGATAGAGAAGGAGAGAGAGAGAGGGAGAGAGAGAGAGGGAGAGAGAGAGAGAGGGAGAGAGAGAGAGGGGGGAGAGGGAGAGAGAGAGGGAGAGAGAGAAAGAGGGAGAGAGAGAGGGAGAGAGAGAGGGAGAGAGAGAGAGAGAGAGAGAGAGAGAGAGAGGGGGGGGGAGAGAGAGGGGGGGAGAGGGAGAGAGAGAGAGAGAGAGAGAGAGAGAGAGAGAGAGAGAGAGAGAGAGAGAGAGAGAGAGAGAGAGAGAGAGAGAGAGAGAGAGAGGGAGGATTTTTAAAATTACAAACCGTTGCTAAGTCATTGATTCAATTAGTAGTATAGTGCCAGTCCATATATGTTGCAGTACAATTAATGATCGACAGCCAAATAACGATAATAGATCATTATCTTGTTTACTACACAGAGTGACAATAATAGTGGCAATACTGAGAAAATGGCTGCCAACTTTTGCAACTTAGAAAATTTGTAAAAAATCCAATTTCGATCCGAATCAACTCAAACTTTCTACGCAACATAAGAACATGTATATGTATCAGGAAATGTAATAAAAATGGAGAATTCTCAACTTTTAATTTTTGGCAAAATTTGGCTCGTGACCCTGTACTATGGTACAGGGCTTTTGCTCGATTTTGGAGCAACTTAAAAAATTTGTAAAAAATCCAATTTCGATCCGAATCAACTCAAACTTTCTACGCAACATAAGAACATGTATATGTATCAGGAAATGTAATAAAAATGGAAACTTGTCATTTTTGACAACATTTGGCCAGAGACCAGCCTGTACTATAGTACAGGGACTTTGACCCGATTAATGTAATATAACTTGACACTATAGTTTTTACCTTTTGATCTACATATCTCCACAAGGTTAACGATATTGTTGTGCTGCAGCAACTGAAGTATCCGTATCTCTCTCAGAGCTGTCATGGGGAACTGAAATACAGCAATAATAAAATTACAATCAATTTAACACGATATTATAATTAAAGTTAGATATTGTACTCACTCCTTCTTTCTCGTTCTCCATACAAACTTTCTTTAGCGCAACAAGTCGACCCGTTTTTCTGTCTTTGGCCTTAAAAACCTCACTATATTATAACAATCAATAATAATTAAAATTTAATACATATATAATAATAATAATAAATGCCTAAATACGACCTTTATAAATTCTACAAGGTACTAATATTATCTTACCCAAAAGTCCCTTGTCCTACTTTAGTCAGTTTCTCATATTTCCCGACTTCAGGGCAGTAAGGCAGGTTTACAGTTCTCACAGGACCCGCCATTTTTATTAAGCTCCACCCTAAACCACACCTATTGAAGTATCCGGATGCAAACGAGAGTATACAAAATCTCCGCCCACAAAAGATTATACGGAAAGGAAAGCAGTTATACGGAGTATTACTAGGTTTACATTTGGTGTGAGAGACTAAGAGTTGAAGTTTTTGCCTAAAATGTCTAAAGTGACTCTTAGTACGGAGTTTAGGAAGGTAAGGGAGGGAGAGAAGGAGTGAGTCCATCTCTTCTGTAGGTTGATGTTGATGAACTAGACGAGGAGAAGTACCAGGACGAACCAGAAGGCGGAGATGATTCAGACTCCATTGCCAGCAGGTAACCTTAATTGATATATTAACATTATTAACATTTATGATTACTTACATCTCTTATTTATTAATATTAACATTTTGAAAAGTAAATGCCTAATTCCTTTTATGGCATTAATAAGTGGGACATTTCAACTGATTATTGACTTCATTAACTTGTTGTTATTGTTATTGTTGTTGTTGTTGTTGTTGTTATTGTTATTGTTGTTGTTATTTTAGGGAGGCCGAAGTTAAAAAGTTTATTTCTGGTGGTAAGAATTTTGAAGCTTTGAAGGCAGCTTTGGCCGACCCACCACTTCAGACTAAAGATGAAAAAGCAAAGGTAACTAATGAATTTACAATACACTGTAAAGCTGATAACTCTAATTCTTGTGAGTTTTAATTTTATGACCATAAGTCATTTAATATGCGCATAATTCTTTGTATCAAAGCCTCCTATATTACCAGCTGTACTCTACGTATTAATTATTCTATTTAATGTCACACCTTTAGAAACGTAACTTTGACATAGTCCTTGATGTCCTCACTCGTTTCAAGCAGTCGGACGTTGAGGAAGCTGTCAATAAGTTGAACTCGGACCAGGTTGACGTCCTCATGAAGTACATATATAGAGGGTTTGCCGAACCAACCGAGAACTCTTGTGGGATATTACTAGTCTGGCATCAATTTGTAAGTGGGTGTGGCCACTTAAAATGGGCGGAGCTTAGTAATAATTATGCATGTACTTGTAAAAGTTTTAAATTTTGTAGAAATTTTTGATAATGTGACAGATGTAAGTAGGTGTGGCTAGTTATTAATTAATTTTAATTACAGGCGGTTGCTTCGGGAGGCGTTGGCTCAATTGTCCGTGTACTAACTTCAAGACAAACCGTTTGAGGATGGAAAGAGATAAAAGAGATGAACGTCTTTTTATAACTCTTCCTGTCTCCTAATTAGTACTGTTGTATGCTGTGTCTTTAGATTCATTATTATTATTATTATTATTATTATTATTATTATTATTATTATCGTGTAGCTGTTGTAATTTATTACTTAATTCTCTTCTTTTTCTGTTTTATTAGTTTTCAATTTTTTATTATGCAAAAAAGACATTTCTCAAAACGAACACAAAAACATAAAAAAACCAAAAGCTAATGACACACACTCCATATTTAGTCATTAAAAATATCAAGAATCGTTGCCACATCTCTTCCAAATAATAACAGTTCCCTATGAAGAGACGGTAATAATTATAATAATTATATTATTAATA